TTTACACCGACTTCAACATGACTCACTGAAGATGTATTTCAGTTTAGGAATCTCACTTTAGGAAGCTCTTGTATGTTTGGGTTGTTTTGTTGTTGGGGTTTTTTTTCTTCTTTAATCCCATTATTTTCTTTTTAGCAACTTTTCAGCAACTAGACTAATTGGTTCCATTACACATAAAACCAAAGCCACTTCATACAAGTTTTATTACAGAAAAAAAAAGAGTTCCTTTCTCCAGTGGAACCTGCAACCTGAGCTTCACAGAAGATGCAACCAGTGAACTTAAACAACTAGGTCAATGAATGGCTGGAAATACCTCCCACACAAAGTGGCTACACATGACATTCTGAAGTAATTTAATTAATCTTCCACTCTAATGCCTGTGTTATTCGCAGGACCTTCAGCAATGATATTTGAACAAATGGAGCACTGCTAAATAATTTTATTCCATTCATTTGGGTTGCATCTTTTTAAAACCCACAGATACTTCATCAGCACATTAGCATCAAGAACATCATGACAGCTGTTCTCAAGAATACCAGAACAAGGAACACCTGGTAGATGAGCAAAACAAGCTCCACAATAGGGGCCCTGAATACGCAAAAGACCACCTCCTCCTTCACTGCAGTCACTGTGAATAGGAACGCTTCAATTGAGGGAGGGGGCAGCTGAAACATCTCACTACATGCAAGTGTTGAATAGCATCTGAAAAATAAGTATAATTTTTTTTATTTCCTTCACTGCTCATAATTTTGTTACATTAGATCTGTCTCACAAAATCAGTAACAAAAAAAACTGGTGTGGTGCTTCCCAAATAATTTACCAGCTGCTGACGAAAGGCTGTCAGGTATGTAAGTGTTTAGATTTCATTCAGTCTCAGGCTGAGATGGACTCAGCTTGGTGGAGCTGAGGATAATCATTCACCATTCTGCTCCTGAGACTTATATGCAGTAACAGGGAGAAATCTACAGTTAAGATCCTCGGAGAATAACTAGACACAATAATAAAAGAAAGAAAGAATAACTAGCATGCCCTCAATATTTTTATGCTCAAAACCTCGACGCTTCGTTACTACAGGTCAGAAGTAACTAGAAGCATGATGAAGTATCCAGCAGGTCATGCTTCCATGACTTTTTTGGTGTGGTTTTTTTACTTTTCTAAATAACTCTTTGATATGTAATAGGGAGGAGCTTATGCTTCCTGTGCTTCCACTGCCCTGTTATGCGCTGATGAAGATGGGGCAGAGGAATAATTCATGGATGTATGCTGAGCTGAGGTCCTCAGAAAGCTCGCAGGTTTAAGAACAGTCCCAGTTTGGGAGACACAAGTAGAAAGAACAAGTCAGGAAAGAAGGTGAGGGGCTGGATGGGTCTCCAGGATAGGATTTCAAGAGGGCAGGAACAAGTGAAAAATTAGAAGCTGTTTCTTTAAAGTACTTTTTACATCCTTTTTCACCAATAATAAAAAAAACCCATTATTATGGAACTACAGGGTTGGTCTTGATTGACAGGAACAAGAGAAACATGCTTTTGGTTATTTCTTCTTTCACAGCTAAGCTGATTATTGCACTTACAAAGACATCCCACCTTTGAAAGTCCTCAAGATATTTTTGCTAAGAATTTTCAGAGGTTGGACTTGAGCTGGTACTAAACTATTAACTCCATAAAAATGTCAGTAATGTAGTCTACATCTTCAGTAACAGGTCAAGTGGCAAGACATCTAAAAAAAATTCATTACTTATCAAAACAGCCATTAGGCACAAGTTTGTGAGAGTTTAGAGGCTTAACCTCATGAGAAGTTTGTCTTCTCCTTTCAATAGTAGCTGTTCCCGTTGGATTCTTAAGATTATTTCATTTTAACTTGAACCTTCAAAAGCACTGTTAAAATTTGGGCTCACTGACAACAGTTAGGTCACAATTTATAATCTACAGACTCATTTAACCAAACCTTCAAGCAACTGCAGCTAAAGATTTACTTCTGACAGCTCCTGGTGATACATGCAGGAATCTTGTGAAGCAAGTAACCGATTTTTCAGAATTTGAAATAAAACGAACTAAAGCAAAAGAATTTACAGATGCAAATAAAAACCATAAACCAAGATATTTTTCTTACAGATTTTATGTACCACCTCATATCTTTCAGTTTTACATGTGAACTAGTCTGCAATAAAGTTTCAAACATTTGAGATTGTTCTTTGCATTTGCATTCTTATTAAAAAAATTATAACATTTTTGTTTAAAGGAAAATTAACACAGTAAATCAGTCTGGGTGCATGGCCTGTCACTGTGGACTACCTACCAATTAATTTTGCTTCATTAAATCTCATTATTCTCAAACTTGCCCTCTATGATAGCATCACCACTGAGAAGAATGATCTACAGACAAGTCAATGACAGCTGAACAGGGGACTCGATGTTACCCCCTGGATCACAGTCCATCATGAAACCATCTTTATCTCTGTCAAGTGCATGAGCTCCACTTAAACAACTTCATACTTAAAGTGATCTGTTTTCAATCACTGCCTCAGAATTGTATTGTTTTAACAGCCTTATGGCAAAACCAAACCAAAAGAGGTAAACTACACAATTGCTATTCAAGTATGTAACTCTTCAGAAAACAAAAGCCAAACTGCCTTCTCTCTTAAAAAAAAAAAAAATCAGTTAAGTAACAAATGAGCAACTGAGAATATGACATTCAGAGATACCAGTTTGTGGCACATTTTTCCACAGATTAGCTGATCTGTAACCTACTTGGCCAACAGATTCTTCAAGCAGGGATTTTAATTTTTCATGAACACATTGCTCTAATAAAGTACTTGGCATTAGTTATGGCTTTTGAATTAAGATGCATTCATGACATTAAATTTTAAAATCACTAAACCATTAATTTTGACCAGCTGTTTTTTTTCACATGGTGTTCACAAGAATTAGCGACCAAGTGCATATTTCACCAGCAAAGGAATGAAACTTGGACTAATACAACTTACTTTTGCAGGTCCCTGCAGAGAATGGTAATATTTTATACACTGACTGCATATCAAATGAAAGCCAAAAACAAATTTACTCTTCTGATAAAGGCTTATCTGTCAAATACCACATAATAGTTCAACTTATGATCAAGGGCAACTTAACACACAACCTGCTATCTACATTTTCTTCTGTATTCAGAAATAAAAAAGTTTATGCATTGCAGAAGAGTGCTATAAATCGCCTAGCTCAAGCACTGACTTTAGTACGTATTTGTGAAACTATCTTGATGCAAAAATTTCAAGGTAATAACTAAATAGCTGAGCCTATTCAATTGAGGATTCTGATCTGCAGTTTCTTCAGGTATGCAAGTCCCTGTGGTTGCCCTACTTTACCTTCCAAAAAAATTCCCCCTCTGTCTGCTTTGTTCAGGGTAGCATTCAGAAAGCTCAAATAGTATAAATCATAGGTATTTTAGTTTTTAATATAAAATCATTACTTCAGATATAGCTACTGGCCCCTATAACCTTGCAACTAAAAGAAATAAATCACCCACTGACAGCCTGGGAGCCCAATAGCAGACTTCAAACCAGTTTTCATCATTTTATCTTGTTTCATCTTGTTCATCTTGTACTCATGGAACAGTGTAGAGTTACAACACTGAAGATGTTTGATACAAACAGCCAATTTGATGTCTGATTCCCATGCTAGTATCCTTCTACTGTCCAATAAACTACAGTCGATGAAGTAGCTCCATTTCAGTGATACATTTTAATTGAGAACAATTTACACACTTTATACACCTTTAAGTAATGCATCAGATTTGCTCAACAATGAGAATGCAGCTCACTAGAACAGATGTCTGATCCTCCAGCTGCCCCAGTTCTTAGGATTGGTTTTCTTTATTCCTTTACATTAACTTGTAGATAAATTAAGCATAACATAAATGTATAAAATTCCAGCTGTGTTGCAAAATGCTGCTCTAAGGCTAAATTTTTAAGTCCAAGTAGTTTCATAAACTATGTGCAGTTGTTTATGAAGGCAACAGGAATTCTATTCTGACAGCCTAATTAAACTTCCAATAATGTCAAACTGATGGCAAAATGGCTCATTTTATAAACATCGCTACTTTTATGACTGACAAAAATATGCACAATCACGTGCCAACTTCGTCATAAATGCATATTTTACAACTTGTGTTGTAAATTACTTGTAAGTATAAAACTCTTAAGATGTTAAAGGTCTATGCTCAATCCATACAAAAATGGCACAGTTCATACAAAGATTTAGTGGATTTTGCTCTTCTGCCAGTTTCACATCCATGTAACTTTACTAGTTTCAGAGGAGTTACTCCCAAATATATACATAAATTTACATCTAAATCAAGCCATGTCCTGTACACAATATTGGACCTGGGATTACACATGTGTTTAAAACACAAGTGAAATACTGGACAGAGAGAAGATAATTAGACCTCACCTATTTTAAGACTGCTCTATAGTTTGTATATCACAGTGCACATGCAGCACACATTTCTTCAAAATTTGCTTTTTAAGTTTGCTGCCCATTGTAGAAGTCTCTTTAAAACTGCATGGGCCATGAAATACTGATTAAGTCTAAAAAAAAATTACATTTCTAATTGGAAACATTTCAGAGTTTAAAAAAAACCATACACGATATCCCACTATTTCAAGCAGCAATGAACCCTAAATTGAACCACTTCCTCATAGCAGCAATTGCTGTGTTGATAGCCATTGCTGCTTTTCTAATTATAGTACAGGTTAAAACAAAGTATTGAATGTTTTTGCTCACTCATGCATGACATGGATACACTTACAATAAACTCAAGTATTGGGAAAAAACAGTCATTTGGTACTGACCAACTGCCCATACAAACAGGAGAACTTCTACTAGTTCTGTACTCCCTGCTCTTCGCAGTCACTTCGCAGAATCCATTCAAAAATCCAGTCAGCTTCTTCTAATCTTGGAGTCACTGGGGATTTTTGTTCGGATGCTTGTTTTGGTTTTTTTAGGACCATTTAAAAATAGTAATCTTGATATAGCAGGGATGGAAACATAACCAAAAGTCAGACCTTCCCTTCCTCACATTTAAGACATAGTTTTAAAAACCTCTTAAGGAGATGTGCCTTCTGCTTTTAATAAAAATGAAGGTAACATCAAATAAAAAGCAAAACTAAAGAAGAATAGGTAGAACATTTTACTGTCATCAAACCTTAAATGTAAAGTATATTAAAAAAACATGGTTTGGAATTTCAAGAACAGGAATATAAACATCTATTTTCTATCCCCGAAAAAAATTCACGTGGGTGTTACAGTATTCGATGATACTCTACATCCACGGGTATGCAACGTCAAGTTCATGTTATTAAATAGATACAGAGATACCATAAATTCATACAAATACCAGGGACTTCTGGCCTCATACTGTAGATGAAGCAAAATTTGTTCTTTGGTAACTGGAGTAGACTTATTTTCCATTCCAATGCAGGACTGTTAGGAAGCCACATTAGCCATTCATCTCAGAAAATTACAACTCCCGTAGACATAGTCTGGGCTACTTATGTCAGAAAATAATATTAGAGGTGATATTAGAGGTATAAATTCAAAGAAGATAAAATTATTCATTCCTTGTGGTAGCTGTTTCAGGGAAAAAAAATCCAAACTCTCTCCTTCTCTATTCACTGTTTAATCTAGGTAACATTTAGACTCATACGTAAAGGTATTTTGATAGATGGGAATGTACACATGCACACTTTCAGCTTAAATAAAGAGACCTGTGTGGAGAACGGCAATTTAAAGTTAAAATGACTTGAAGGTATTCCTATAATAAAGTTTAAAGACTTGGTAAATGGGACATTACAAATCCAAAAAGTGTTTCTAGATTTTTCATCTTCCCTTTTTCAACAAAGACTGACAGAATATACATATACAGGTTGACATTTTGATTTACCCCAAACAATTTTCACTTTGCTCAGTTTGCAAGTCCTATTGACTAAAATGTAATATCATTCACAACAAAATATTTTCTGTAAGTGAAACAATAAGCAAAGAAAACCAAAACTAAGCTCAGAAGCTAAGTGGTTTAGAAAGCTTGGTAACATCTGTGTGCGTCAGTGTGTCTATTTTTTTTTTTTATACATTATATATAGACACACACACATATACACACACACGTGCGCACACGCGCACACACGCATTGGTAACCTGCAGTGAAGATCAATCTATTTTCTAATAAGGAACAAAACACATTATTTAAAAATGTGGCTAATTTAACAAAACAGAGAAGAAACTGCTGCTATCAAAATATACAATTTGGATTGCAGACTAGAAGGCTAACAACATTAAAAAAATAGTTTTAAGCAAAACCCCTTTGCTTCTGAATAACAACAGGTATCAACCTGCCATAGCATGAAGCATCCAAACAAGATTTTATAAAAAGTTTAAACTGTGATCTTTCTTCATTTGTAAAGTTCTTGACGTATCATATAGTGCGAGCTCTGGTCTCCAAACTGGAGGCCCTTTCATTTTTCTCCATCCACACTTCAGGAAATAAATGGCAGCTGAAGGATTCAGAATCTCAAGTGAGATTTGTGCTTTACCATATACCTGAAAAAAAATTAACAGAATACAACATTACTGCTCTTTTGGTATTTACAGAAATTTTACACTCAGGAATAATACGCACAGACTTTTTAAAAAACTAAATTCCTGGAGAATTAGCAAGTTGTCACAGAGATGCAATGTCTTACATGTCATATAGCTCTGCATAAGACACAATATTTGCCCTGCTAAAAGACAGTTGGCTAAAACCTTTGCTTCGTAGAAAATTTGTGTTTTCCAAGGCATCACATGACTTCTAACATTGGAAGACTGTTTGTTAAAGATAACTCTAGTTCCTTCTGGGAATTCAGATACATAGTTTAGCTAAGGCTTTTAAATAACAAGCCCTAGAAAGTCTGATGCTTGGAATTATTTTGACAATTCCCATAGGATTTTTCTTTTCGAAGTTCACTCAATCATTCAAGCAGTTAGCTGTGCAAGCAACATGAAAAGATTAAACATTCATGAAATGCATGGCCTTCTCCCTTCCCTCAGTATTTCTTCAACTGCTTCATGACAAGAAAGTTTCCTCTCTACAACACAAAAGGGGTATTGCAACGAACGTCCTGTTCAGAGAGGGTTCTGAGCCCCAGAGAAGCAGAGCCAGAAGCAACACTGCCCTGCACAGAGCTGCTGGTGCTCCTGCATCCCTCGCCTCTCACAGAAGGCAGGGCTACGTGCTCGGAAGGCCCCTAAGATACAGCAGAACCACCAGCCCCAAACTCATTATGTGCCCTATCCTTTTGACTTCTTTCTACCCAGTGCTGCGGACCCAAGGGCATCAGGATGAGATAATGCTCTGTGGCTCCTAAGGTAGTTTCTCACCTCTTCTCGACTGTCACCCAGAGAGGTGGGAAGGGAAAGGAGAGCTCCGAACTGCAGTGTGAGGGGAGGGCTGGGGGAGCCAAGGGAAACTCTGCACCACCGAGCTTGTACTCCATTCCTTTCCTTCTGCCTCAAGGGAGGTGGGGAGTCATGGCACTACTTGGTGATTAATGACATCTACCCTTCCTTTAAATCCATGCATATTACACTTTGGAGATTATAGATTAGAATGAAATATAGTGGTATACATTTAACTATCGTCAGGGAAAGTCTAAACAAACAGTATTTTCAAGCTAAAACATTGTTCCGATGTCTAAGTTACATACAATTTCCTTGTTGCCATAACTTTTCATTCCCACCAAACCTCATAAAAGCATGAGGATTTTCAACAGGAAACATACCTGTCCAAAGTTTCCCAGAAGCGTAGAAATACTGGCCTGTCCAAATGTCTTTTGTGGTAGCTTAGTTCTAACACTGTCACATCCCATTTCTGTACGTTTGGATCCAAACGCACTTCATCGTATTTGAGATGGAAAGCTTTAACTACAGAAACAAGGAAAACATTTAGAGTACAAACATGATTACAGTGTTCAATTATTAGCCAAAGAAAATTCTCACCCCACCCCTCTTTTTTCAGAGTAGAGTCTGAGAACAAAATTAATGAGAGTGTTAATAAAGGGCGCTGACCTAAATACAGTGGTTGGTGGCCACTAAGACTCTCATGCTACTGCAGGTCACACTGAAAGGGCAGCCCCTATTTTTAGAGGCAGGGATTCCATGAGAATTGCAGAAACTCATTGCCAATTCAAGCACATCTTTGGGAAACAAAGTTGTTCTTTCTGAAAACTGTCCAAAAATTTAAAAAAAAAAAGCATTTCTGAGATCACTGAGAAGGATGCCCGGCTATTTCCTGAGAGTCCATGGAGAAGACTGATAGAATGCCAGTGGAAACCTCAAATGTTACATGAAGCATTCTGAGAAATTCAGTAACTGCCAATTTCCCCTGATCTAGTACTCAGTTAAAAACAGTAAAATATTAAGTTATTTTACTCTTGGGAAGCATTGTCACGCGTGAATTACATAAGCCTAAGCATTAAACACAGTGAACATTAAAATCTTCTTGCGCTTTCTTCTTGATTTCCTGAGCCAAGTCATAGTTTTGAAACAGCCCAGAGCAAAGTATTTAAGTCTCGTACAAATCCAATCTGGTAACCATTTTGATGCATTTCTATTTTGGATATTATTGGAGAAGTAAAGCAGAAGCATTTGACCAGGCTTGTGGAAACTAGTTAATGTCATGGTCATATCTTTTCTGGTACCACACTCTTCATTTTTTCTTGCACAAAATCCACCTACAATTTTAGCCAAATGGCCAAAACAAATTGAAAAAAAAAATACACAAAATCAGGCCCCCCTTTCCAGATACAGGTCAATCTATAAAATGATATATCTACCAGCTTTCTCGAAGATTGATATCTGAAATTAGCTTTTTTTTTTTCAGTTAATAAACTAAAGAAGTGATCATCTGGCTTGTACCATTGCCATATAGATTTCCAAGCTTGAAAACTAAGAATACTCATACATAATTTTTGCTACACAATACTGCATATTTTAAATTAACTTGAGAGAAAGCAAAGAAAGATACAGTGGGGATACGCATTTACAGAAAATTTAACACCTGACAGAGCCTCTGCATTAAGGGTAAATGGTACTGAGCATAAGAAAACCAACTTCTGAATCTGAAACAAATCAGTATTAAAGCGCACTAATGTGCTCTAGCAGCAAGACCTTTAGAATGGTATTCAAAAATTAAATATTTCTTCATTAAAGTGACATAATTCAAAATTTAATCTGAAGCATTCACTTGCAGGTGCAAGAATGAACTTGTTTGGTACGTGACCATTAAACACTCGAACCACGTGTAAAGAAAACTAAGAACAATTTGAGAGACTCAACTAGCAAAATGCTACGTGACACAGTCATTGAACAAATAAAATCAGTCTGGCTCTGGTCCAATACAAGTTTTATCGAGGATTTCTTTATGGTAAGCTACCTGCTTGTTTCCAAAATTATGGTGGTAAGCTTTGAACATTTGTTAACCATTACAGACCCAGTGACATGAAGAAACACAAACTGCAGAGGAAACAATGAACTGCTGCAGGTCCCAGAAACCACATATATGAAGACTGATGAAGACTATAAATATGGGCAAAGCAGTAGCTTCAGGAAAAGGTAAAAGCATACAAACAGACTGACATGGCCGATGCTCTCTCCATCTACACTTTATTTATTTTGAGGAGTGAGTAAAGTCAGTAGGAAAAGATGTAGAGATACTCTTACCATGAAAAAAAATTTAAAATACCTCGCTTTGAAACAACAGAATGCATTTCTAAAATTAAAAAAGGTCCATTTCAATGTATCTATGCGTATGTATTTCTATACGTGTAGATGTGGTGCTTCGGGACATGGTTTATTGGGTTAGGTGGTGCAGGCTGATGGTTGGACTTGATGATCCTTGAGGTCTTTTCCAACCTTAATGATTCTATGATTCTATTCTGTTCTATCTTTATGAGTCAGTAAGAACAAATACCCTTTCACTTGCAAAACGTAAGGATTTGTATACTGTCAGACTGAACTACACAGGCTATGATTTCGATTTTTTGGCATAGCAAAGACTTCAAAAATGTCTAAAGCACATCAAACATAAGTACATAATTTTCAAGTTAATAGGAATTAGCATGCAACTACTAGCTAGACCTTAAATATTTAACAGCATTTTTCTTTGTTTTGCTTTTCAGAGTTTCCATTTTCTCTGTATCTTCATTTTGAAGTGTTACTTTCTTCTTTCATTAGTCTTTTGTTAAACCCTCTCCTGTGGTGTATTTTTTCTTTTACATTGACTTTCAGGCTCTTTCACTCTCTCCCTCTTCATTCTCATCCCACCTTAAGCAACTCGTTCTTTCCTTTTTTTGTTCACAGATATATCCTTAGCCTTCCGTCCAACTCTTCTTTTTTTTTCCCCCCCTCCTTACCAAACTAGCAATCTCTTTCCAGCTTCTACTTCACCTATGAAACATGTGCACACATAATACCTCATCAAACTTGTTTCCTCATCACACCAACTGGAAAATGAGAGACTGAACTAAGGTGCTTTTTGGTTTGTTTGTGGGTTTTTTGCTTTTGTGTGTATGCGTGCTTTTTTTTTTTCCTCTGTATCTCGGAAACCACTGGACACTATAAAAAAGGTCTATTTTCTAAAGCAGCTTCACAATGCAGCAACAGAGAACAGAAGCTGACAGTTTCTTTAGATATTATCACACACCTCACAGTCAGAACAGTGAACTGTGTGAGAAAAGTACAGCGTGTCTCAAAGCACACTGGGCATATGTGTGATAACTCAAAAAACCTGTTCAGATCTATACAGCAGTAACATCTAGCTCACAACTAAAAAGTATTTGTATCTTACTAAACTTGCAAGTTTTTGTTGGACACCACATTTGCAAAGCTTTCTCAGTGAAACACTAGACAATGAATCCTCTGTTCAAATACTGATGAAATCTGAAGACAGTCTGTAAACCTGTACACATTGTCTTTTCACCGTTTTTACAGAAGCTTGGAAAGTAAATTTATGCACCAGATACTCCTGAACCTCTTGTAAAGACGGCAGCTCTGAGAAGATTTCTGTGAGCTTCCACAGGTCAGAAGAGAAGAACTGCAGAGGGTTCGTTAATATTTCCATCTGTGCAAGACCTGAGCACTGTCGTCTCAACCACCCGAGTCCAACAGCACTTTGGCAGTACCCTGCCATAAGCATAACCACCCCACAAAAACCCCAAACAGAATAACAAACCCCGAAACACTTGATAACAAACCAAAAGACCTTACTTTTTGCAAAGATATCAACAGGTGATCCGTCAGGCAAGAGCCAAGGCCAGCCTTTGAACTGCCAGGCAGGACCCTGCACGAACACGGCCACCACCCGATCCCTGCGAACACAAGGAGATGGAAAAGTTGATGGCCTTCAGGATTGCAATTACATGTTCTCTTAAACAGGCAATACACCTTCGCATAATTTCTTGTTTTAGTAACAGCAGCATAGCACGTTTAACCCCCCCACCTCCAGAGCAACTGCTTTATCTTTGTCAAAAAAAAATTCAAGTGATTTTTCTGGATGTTTATCTCTGTCCCTTTCCAGAACACAGCCCAGATTCTCATGTTACATTTATAAGTAGTCAAACGGTGTTCACTTCTGATTATTGCTACTTTGCTTTTAAAAAATGCTCCAACATTTTAGAGATAATCTTCTATGAATAACACCGTAAACAGAGATGCAGCAATTTAAAAGCCTTTATTCTGAACACTGTTAACTTCTATTCTAAAAATTTATTAGAAGAGACAGCTGCTAAATTCCTGCCTCTGGTTGCCAAGTGCATCATTTACTGTAAGAGTCTGCAACCATTGCCTGTGGTCTAAGCAAATACATCTGTAATTAAGTTGAAGCTTTTACGTTAAAAAAAACAACTTTGAGAACAAAAGTCCTCTCACATATGGTCTTTGTCTTGAACCATTGGAATCATCCAACCATAATTCCTACCTACTAAACAAATGATTACCTCCCTAATCTAATCCCCAGATTGAATTAATCATCATGAAGTCTACGAAATCCCAAATGGAAAAGAATAATCAAGGTGGAGGTGTTTTTGTTTTGTTTTGTTTTTAAAGGCTGAATAAAGCTTTGCCATTTAAAATGATGTTGCAGATTTTGTAATGGCTAACAGAAAAAAAACAGCAGCAACATCTTAATTTCTACCAGTAATATCTGATTCTCCCTTGGATATAAACAAGCTAAAACACCCCCCCCACACACACACTTCATCTCTTTGGCCAAAAGCACTTCAGGAACCATTTTAGATGGTTTGTAAAGGTTTGATCATTAAACATTGAGTGCTATTTGATGTATTTCAAAACTACAGATTTCTGATTAGTTCAAGTTCTCAATACAGAGAACAATTCATTTAGGAACAGGACCTTTTCAAATTATTCCTCTCCATTAAAAACCTACTTTGGAAGTTACAAAACCCCCAGAAATGTTGTCATGCATGTCTTGGGAGGAAGAAGAAAAAAAAATTTGCCTAATTCATTATATCAAATAACAAAAAGATGTTTCTCCAGAATTTTTCTGCTCAGAGAAACACGTTTTCATAGCACCAAAGGTTGGGCTACAGACAAAATAACATCTCTAGCTTTTCCTTAAAAGTAAAAGCTATCTACAATTCCCGTTCACAAACGGGGTTCTCCATTCAGAAGTAAGCTTCCGTCACTGAATCCAATCTAATGACTCTGATTCACTACTGAAACCCCGGCTCAGTCTTTACTGCCTGATGTGCTATCTTTCTTTCTTAAACTATTAAAAAAGTTAGAGTATCAGATGCTGAAGGCCTGTAAACGTATCTTTCTAATAGATCTTACTCAGAAAGCAGATGAGAAAGGAGGACTTTTTTCCTTGGGTCATGTTTCAGTGACTTGCACACTACAGTATCCCTAACTGGAGAACTCATTGGAATATTCCGATTTGAATTTCTGGAACATTTCAGGCAAACTTATTTTAATAAAACAGTGGTGCTGCTTATACCGTTAAAATGCAGATTGCTGGACTGCTTAAGAAACTTCTTAAAAGAAGTTTAGTGTAATATTATTTTAACCTGAAGAAAAGATTCCTATACAGTTATCAATCAAATCCATTATTTTATCCATATCTTCACTTTTTACCCAATTTAGTAGAATTTTATTCATCCCTTTCAAATCCTGCAACCTCCTGATTGGGAGATTTTGTAAAGGGGAAATCTATTTTACCAGTCTTGTGGCATAAGTTTCAGAGGCTGGTCTACTACTCGATAGGGTACAGTAACGCTGACTGTAGTGCCCCCAGGCTGCATCTGGTCCTTCCTTCTCTGTATTAGAGTCTCATTTTCTCGCTGACAACCTTGCTTCTTCTTTTCATCCGATGGTACAAACCTTGGGGAATAAAGAACCATTCAGTAGACAAAAGCTATTTATTTGATGTAATGAGCAGGAAAAGTAACAACTTAATCAGAACTTTGCATTATTGGCGAAAGTCACTGCAGCCATCTCATTTTCACAGTGCCAAGCCTCCATCACCACTCATTCAGAACAGCAAAACCCATTAGAACAATATCTCATAAGCCCTTACGATAAAAACAGTCATACCAAAACGTCCTCTGCTCCCCAAAGCTAGAGGCAGACCTGTTCTTGTACCTTGGTGGCATCCCTCGCTGACTCACCCAATACATCTCTAACATTCTGTGATTCTGTGATTCTGTGATCTGCATCTACTTAGAAACCATTTTTCCTGCTGGAGGGCTGTCACTCCTCCACTGCAGTGACCAAGGGTAGCAGGGGAAGCCTGTGCACTAAAACAATTGCGTCCTGGAGCAAACTTCAGAGCTCTTGCTCTTGGACACATCAGGATTATGTTTTCTCAAAAAAGCTGGGATTTTTGGTCAAAAAGGTTTTTGAGTGAGGTTTTCTTTTTTAAATGATGGTGATTTTACACTCTCAATGATTCATCTCTTTACTGTGATTTATGATACTACAATTCTGGATTTTTTTTTTTCTAAATAGCTTCTCTGATAGATTAAAGCGCTTGGAAAATAAGGATAACATGATCCTCATGTCTTATGTGAACTGCGAATAACAGAAATAAACGCTTAAGATGGGACACCCCCAAATGATTTACAGATCTTTGATTTTTCAGCCCCCACCTTAAAAACAAATAGAATTACATTTCAAGAGTCTCTACTTTACAGCGACAATAAAATAAAAGACACGGAACAGTTCGCAAAATTGGCGTCATAAATGTGCAAGTAGGGTAAGCCTTTTTACTGATAAATCTCAGGGGATTTTGTCAAAAGGAAAGAAAACAAAACTGTGCATTTTATAGAACTAAATCTCCATCACAGAAAGTTAAGCTGGTGTGACCACTATCACCCACCAGGCCAGCAAAAGGGCAGAGCTCAGACCCTTGTTCTCCTAATAGTGGATTCAGAACACCCGGCTGCACTACTGTTTGCCACTGACATTTCATTTCCAAAAATCCTGATGAAAAGAAACATTATGTGTCGCTTAGCTGTAAGAGTTACCAGGAGTGTTGGTGCTGCAGTTTAAAACCACAGTACTCTACAGAATTGGTAAGATTTCTCTTTGTTATAGTGTAGATGGTACCTTTTAAAAGTTTACTATGTTTTTTGGGTAAGTTGTTTGCACCATTTCTACTTGTTCTCTTGAACCTATCTTTATTTGAATACTAAAAACCAATTTGAATGTTCTTAAACAGGCAGACCGCATCTCCTATTGCTGGAAAAATAGAGAAAAGGAATGAAAAATTAAATGAGGAAAAGTTCATTATTCAGTCAACTTGAAAATATTGGGTTTTGCTAACATCTAATATCCAATAAGAAAATGGCACATTGGGGCAAAAAACCCCAAACACGGTTTAAGGCAGCATGTAGAAATTATTAATAAACTTTAAAGCAAAACTATTTATTTGCCTAATGTAAGTAAACAGATGAAGCCCCTTTATATTCTTCATCATTTAACAGTGTTTCAAAAAACAGAAAGTCACAATTTCTGAAGTGTGCCTCCAAATGCCTATAACTGCACTGGAAAATTAAGAAAAAACCTGCAAGTGACTATCCATTGTGCATTACAGTTGGCTAGTACCGCAAATACAGAGAAAGCATGACAGATGTGAAACAATAAGCTATATGTTAATAGATGCTCATCTGTCTCTCACAACGTGAAACACCACCATTCTGAAGAAAATACCGACAAAAAACTATACAGGATACACCGGGAAAAGTACACTTAAAGACATCTCAATTATTATAAAAAAACCTGTTAGGACAGTCATTTCACCAGTAACTGAAGTAATCAGGAAGCAGTTCATATTTACACATATTTTATCTGCCACACCCGACTGACACACACAGTTGCGTGCCACACACAATTCATTCAACACAGCTCTACTCTGGAAAAAGTTACCAAACGTGACATTTCTTCTCTTCTGAGTATTTCTTCTCAGGTCGGTAATTTAAAAACTCAGAAACGAGGTGCAACTTTAATGATGAGCACAGCTAACAGGCTGGCCTGCCAACACGTTGCAGGCTTTGTTTTGCCATTTCTAACTGATAAGAAACTGTATCTCGTTACTTAAAATGAGGATATACTTGGTGGTCCTGAGGTTTTAAGAAAGCCATTCATGAGTCTCTCCTCACCCATCAGAGCTAAGGAATCTGGGCTGGAAAGATGGAAATAAAATGGGGTTTGTTTGGTTTTTTTAAATAACTTTAAAAATTACCCCCCCCCGCCCCAACACCAAGTGGCAAGGTCTCTGTGAAAATCCAGCATCACCTAGAACAGTGGAGAGCTTGAGAAGAATTTTCTTCTTTATTACATGTCCCATGCACTGAATGAGAACAAACCCTTACAGAAGATGTAAATAAAACAGGCATACATACATTACAGTGAGAATCAAATATTCATATGATCAGCAATCTAAAAGGTCACAGGTTTAATTTAATTTGTAAATGTGAGGAAGCAAATGCATTTTAAATGGAACCAGGAAACCTGCCACCGCTGACAAATCGGACAAACATGGACAGTGAGAAGCAATCTTGCTGTTCTACGAAGAGTCTAACAATTTCACCACTGTATCTAAGACCCCTCAAATTTGGCCGAAACAGGTGTTCTCAATTCTACTTCTAGCTTTAAATGCTGTTTCACAGTCATTTAGAAACTGTGCTACAGCCACTAAGACACCATTCCGTTGTGCCTCAGTGATGTATCTTTGGGACTACAATAGCCTCCATTTTATTTACTGTGAAAATCCCAGTGGTTTTGAACACATTTATCCAGGACAGAACATCAAATATCTTGTTACCTGAACTTTCTGAAGAAAACAATGCCAATGAGCCAGTTCACAAGGAACAGCAGAGAAGATGACTGCCGTGAAGGAAGCACTGAAGGAAATGCTTACATATAGGTACACACAAAGAGCACAGGAATAAACAACAGCTTACACAAAGTTTGTGAAATAGATGCTTGCATTTCCAGGAACCATTGACTCAGTAAGTATAACAAAAGCCGTGTGCTCAAGAATTGAGAATTAATAGAAATTACTGTATGATTACAAATATAATCATGGCTTACTCCGTCATTACCTGGACACAAAAAACAAGCTTAAAAAATCCCAGTACCAAAGAAAACAGCAAAAACCCCATCTTGTCTTGGGAATTATTTGCCACAATGCTATATAGCTGATGGCTTAACTCCACAGTCGTACTTCACACCTTTTTAATATACCAATACCCAGAAATGTCTTCTGAAACCTGACCGTGCAAGACCTTACCTTTTATGTTGCTCCTCCACATTACTATTCTCTAGTAAAAAAAAAAAAAAAAACCAACACCCCTATCTACTTAGAAACCATTTTTATACCCCTACTAGAAAATTAATAGCACTCATTTCCCTCTCTGTTAATTGCCAAAATCATTATTCACACAAGAACTGGTGCACTCTCTCATTGTACAAAGACAGCAGGTCCCCTTCCCAAGGTAACAGGCAAGTGACTGAACACGATCAAATTATGGGCGGTAATTGGTACAAAACTATCCACTGACTGCCACAGGTGCTCATGCCCAGGCTCTCAACTCACATCAATCGCTAGCACTACCTTTAAAACACTTTTACTGTGGCCGGGTCAGCACTTCTTGCCCCCAACTCAGGCACGCTGAAAAATGCACGAGCAGAGAACGGGCAGCTCCAGCGCTGGCCAGCGACCAAGATCGCCGTCGTGTACCTTTGATTCTGTTTAGAACTGGAGACTTATTTCTACAACCCCCTCAATACTTTTATTAGATTACAGCATCAAAAAGCTTCATACACTTAGTTTTTGCAAGAGAACAAAGCTTTTTTTGTAACAAATCATCCCTCAATCTTTCAGACAGTTTGCTCAATATCGAAGCTGGGCAAATCGCAGTGAGCTGCCTGGCCACAGACAGGGAAACATATCATCAGTAAAAGCATAATCACAATAAAAATACATAATCATCATCTAATCATTTACATCTGCCTGATATAATTCCTGCCTCACTTTTGTTCTATATAAAGCAAAAGCATTGCCTCTGAAAAGTCTAACTTCAGATATTCTCAAATACTTAGTCTGGAAAG